GCAAAGGTGAAGGAAGAAAAATGATGCTATAGAGGAAATTGAGTCTCCTAAGGGAGAGATGACTGAGGATAGAAACTAACTAAATAAATGCTTTTATTTAAGCTTTTTCTTATACTGACCCAGTGACATACATAACCAAAAAGTTGCTGTTTTTGAAATAACTTCCATTTGATATGGTTAGTACGTGTTCCCTGATATAGAAGAAAAGCAAAATAATTCTTGGTGTTTAAATTCTTAATGAGCTTGCTAAAAAAACCTGCTAACATGAAGAAGAGCATAATAAACTCTAATGGTTGCTTATTGTATTTTAAAGTCATTTCTAGTAGTAGCAGTAAACAGTACATATTTAGTGCTAGACTTTATTCTAAGTACTGTACTTAAATTCACTCATTCCAGACCTACATTACATTCAAGGCAAAGATAGCTAATGCTTCATTATAATAGTGAACAGTTGGTTTCAAATACTTTCTTAAAAACATACAAAAACAACTGTTAGGGGATACTTTTATAGTGTGAATGTGAAAAACATGTTTGACCAGGTATTTCCTTAAAACAACTGAAATACATTTTTGTCTCCTCTTCTGTGGTTTAAAATGCCTTCAACAGGTTGAAAGAATTTAGATAATTTGTTTTACAGAGAGATAAGGGCCTGACATTTAACACAACCCCAGGTGCATGTGGTTTCTTAAAAAATGTCAGAAAGGTCACATGGTTTTAGTGTACAAAGTCAGAAAAACAAGATATTTTTGAGTGTCTCAACTGAAATGAAGCATAAATAAAAATTCCCATTATAAAAAGTAAGAAATTATTTAACTATTATAAAATTATTTTCTTGATTTTTGCCCATTTTTGTTAATAATGAAGGTAATAACATCTTGTTAAATAATTTGCTAAACTCTTTGTTTTAAAGTAATTCAATCTGGAGCCTTAATTTATTATATCCATACTGATTTTGCATTGTGAAATACAGCACTAGGAATAATTCATGCTTTAATAGGTATGGTTGTACCAATATTTAAAATGTTATGGATTTGTTCCAACTTTTAATGGAATTTCATAATAGAAATTGTTCTTTTCTTTGGGAAGCTAATTAATCACTTTGAATACTGATCTTCATTAGAACTAACCAAATTGAAATTTATATAACTATGTTCATCTCCTTTTTACATATATAGTAATAGATATAGTAATTTACATATATAGTAATATAACTTAATTTCACACTTAATAATGTAAGAAATGAATATAATGAAGACGTCTCTTAGTTCTTGATATTGTATGCTTTTTGAAGTTTTAGTGGTTAGAGTTGAACTAATGAGACTTAGTTGTTGATATTATTTACTGCTGCTTATACAGAACTTCATATTTGTTGCTATTGCTTTTATTTTGATGGAAGGAATGTGGTTATAACAAATGAATGTGTTATAACAAAGGAATTATTTTACTTTTCCTCTATAAGCTATTTTGGTTTTATATCATAAATTATACTTGTTACTTTAAAATTATTGTTAAACAATTATTATTTAAGCAGGAAATAAATTTTCTCCTTGTTCCAACAGGGCAGATAAGTATTCTGAAGAAAGGTTTATAAACAAGGAAATGGTGACCCAGCTGATTTAATGGGGCTACAAATAAATGTTAAGACTGGGAGGATGAAAGCATCCCTAGCTCCTCATCCTGTACCCCAGCTGTGCCTTTTACCATAACTGTGGGCCTAAGGTTGCATCCTGTATAACTCAATGGGAGTTGTATTTACTGAATTATTTCCTTGAGGGTAGATGTTTGTCATAGTTTAGTATACACCCTCAGGAAAGTATAATTTTACTTAATGAATTCAATGAAGATTTGATAGCCTGTAAACTAAAATATATTAATTTATTGTTTTGCACAAAAGCTATATCTATAATAATGGAAGTAAAGAAGGAACCTACAATTCTATCATCTTGATATAAGTATCTTCCCATTCTAATCCTTTCTAGTCTTTACCAAGAACCACATTTGAAACATCTGAAATTTTGCCTTACATTTTCTGGATTTTTTTTTTTTTAATAAGTTAAATTCCTTATTTGGAGATTTGCTTTGAAGCTCAGGTCAGCTCCTGACTACTCCTGGAGAATATTCGCCGAGAATATACTTACCAAGTATAGGTCAGGCCCCAAATAGCTATAGTTAGGCTTTCTTACCAAGAATTCCAGCAGACTATGTTTTTAGTACATAGCCAAGGTCATAAACACCCTGATTCAGGATATATTCCCAAGGTCATAAACATTTGCTAGTGAGCGTGAGCTCACTTATGTAACATGTTGGCAGTGTGCTTTCTTTGTTTGGCCTGCATATAAAAAAAGCCTATGGAAGGATTGGGGGTGGGGCTAGAAGCTGAGAGCTGCTGCTACTTCTGAATAAAGCCTTTTCTACTATCCCAACCTTGCCTCACATCTTCTTTTATCTGTTGGGGTCCTGAATTTGTTTCCCAGGGTCTTAGCCTCAGCCAGAGTATGGAAGATGGAGGAGTACCTTCTGAGGCTGGGAAGAGTTTCTATGGGTTCCTTTGAAATACAATAATCGTATAGGTAGGAAGGGTAGGTTGAATCAGGGAGAGACGATTTCTATTCATTAGACTACTGCTGAATCAGTAGTCTAGAGAATTCTATTGCCTATTATACTATAAGGCAATGTATATCATTGACTAACATAAACCCTTTTTAACTTTAAGTTCAAATTGTGGAAGCCATGCTTCAGGGTTTGTTTTGTTTTGTTTTACAGTGGGTCTAAACTTGACCGCTGGTACTTGCTCACAAATGAATTATATCCTGATCAGAAAGAAAATGGCACAAAAGAAATAAGATAACACTTTGACAAAAGAAGAGTATGTGTTTTATTGAAATTTATTCCACATTGATTATAGCTGGGTGAGGCAAGTGAAATACAGAATATTTATTATCATATAACAAATGTATTCATATCTGTTATATAGATATGTATACAGGTATGTATTCATATCTGTTTAAAGCAAAACTAGACTCACATGAAGCATAATCTTTTGGAAGGTAATTAAGAATGTAATCAAGTTAAGAAATACTATTCTTGGGCTGGGGATGTGGCTCAAGCGGTAGCGCACTCGCCTGGCATGCGTGCGTTCCGGGTTCGATCCTCAGCACCACATACCAACAAAGATGTTGTGTCTGCCGAGAACTAAAAATAAATATTAAAAAAATTCTCTCTCTCTTTCTCTCTCTCTCTCTCTCTCCTCTCTCACTCTCTCTTTAAAAAAAAAAAGAAATACTATTCTTAAATGTAATTGAGATAAAAATATAATCTTTAAATTACTACCAAAAATTAAAACAATATCAAATTTAATATATGGTAGGTAAATCAAACTTGTGCTTTTCCCCTGGAAATGAGTCAACTTTATCTTGGTTATAGCATATATGACCCTTTCTTAGCCTTGCTTTCAGGCTAAAGCCATACATGAGAGATAACAAAACTTTTTCTAGTCTGATATTTAATTTGCTATTTAAGATCTTATAGGTAGAAAGGGTAGGTTGCATCAGGGTGAGACAATTTCACTGAATCAGTAGTCTAGAGAATTCTATTGCCTATTATATTATAAGGAATGGGAATTAACTCAGGTTTGAGAATTTTTAATCTAAGTAAGTAAACCAATATATTTTTACATGGACAATTTATTCACCTATGTTTAAATAAGTTTAAACATTAATGGCTGTTGACGTTTCTAAAATGTGTTGATGCCTTTAAAAATGAAGTATATTTTATATATTTTGATAGTGTACTATCTGAAATTTCTGAGAACTCCATATTTTCTCAGCAAGATCCAAATTAGTTAAAAATATAGTATGTTGGATGAATGAATAAAGAAAATGTCATGGAGTTTTATTCAGCCATAGGAAAAATGTCATTTGCAGGAAAATGGATGAACTAGAGACCATTATGTTGAACTAAATAAATCAAACTCAGAAGTTTAATGGTTGTATGTTTTCTCTTATATGTGGAAGCTAGAGAGGAAAAAGGGAAAGAAAGGAGACGGGGGTGGATTTCATGAAAATCAAAAGGTGATCAGTAGAGAAAAGAGAAGTGGGAAGTGAGGAGGTAGGGGAAAGTGCTAAGGAATGATATTGGCCAAATTATAATGTTATATTATGTATCATGTGCATGTATGAATATGTAACAACAAATTCTATCAGTATGTACAAATATAATGTACTAATAAAAAGGTTGGAAAAGAAAAAAATTTAGTATGTCATTTATAAACAATAGAGTTTTATTCAGCCATAAGGAAGAATGAAAATTTTCTGATTGGATGGAAATGGAGAACTTCATGCTAAGTGAAATAGGCCAAACTCAGAAAGTCAAGTGTTGAATGTTTTCTTCCTTTGGAGAAGATAGAAAGAAAAAAATTTTTTAAAAAAAGTGGATCTTACAAAATTAGAAGATCAAAAGAGTAGAGGAAGGGCTCCAGAGGGGAGGAAAGAGGGGAGGAAATGGGGAAGCACTGAAGAAAGAAATCTTGCAAATTATCCTATATCCTTGCATGAATATACCTTAACAAATACTGCTTATACAAATAATTATAATGTACTAATTAAAGTAGTGATAAGAATAATGGAAGGGACTTTGAATAGAATATTGTAAGTGGATGGAGGGGAGGGAAAAAGGAAGTAAAAGGACCTGGGGGATCAAATTATATGCATATGAATATAGCATAATGAATCTCACTATTATTTAAAATTATAGTACACCAATAAAAATGAATTTTAAAAACAAAAAACAACATGTCAGTGGCTTACAATAGATTTTTAATGGTCAGTATTAACTCAGTCTGTATTTTAATATCAGGCTATTCTCTAGTTTGAAAGGACCATTAAGTAGGAAAAGATGAAATAACATACCAGATTGCTTTATTGATTCTCTTAATAGTCTCCCTTTTTATAAGGCATAATAGTGAAAGTTTTTCAGTCATTTTTGTTTCTTCTTTTTTACAGGAACACCAGTGTATTCAGTAGCATGGGGCCCTGATTCAGAAAAGGTTCTTTATACAGCAGGCAAACAGCTGATCATTAAACCTCTTCAACCAAATGCTAAAATTTTACAGGTACTTCTTAGGCATTTTAAAATTAACATCAGGATCTGCCTATCTGCTAAGGTAGAGGGTGCTTCCTTCTTAGTCTAAAGGATTTAAGTGTGTGGTCTTATCAGTCTTAATAATAGAATAGGAATATCTGTTTATGTTTCTGGCAAAGTTCATTTCCCCCTTATTCCAACTTACATTATACCAGTATATCATAAAAATGTTTTGAGCTATTGAATTGTAAGATTTGGCACTACTGGGTTATGTTTAAGTATAGCAGTCAACCTCAAATATATAGAGTTGACACAAAATAAAACAAAATCATGAAACTTTAAGAGCTTTGCTTAGACTTTGTTTTTTATCATCATCATCTTCATCATCTGTTAAAATACTTGAACTGTTTCCTACAGCCTAGCATTCTTAGTATTTTCAGAGTGGAGGAGTTGTCAATATAATACTTAGAACAAATAATGTATATATAACTTTTCAAATAACATAGAGAACATTTATCTTAAGGATAAGTGTTGAGCTCACATTTTCTTTTATACTGTTCAGAAAGAAGACTTTAGTTAGGAGCTGAATCTTAAAGGAGAAGAGGGAAGGTTATTCTAAGCCCAGGAAGCAGAAAATGTTCAGAAATATGAGATAAAGGGGCAAGTAGAGAACCACATAAAAGCAAGCAAAAAAAAAAAAAAAGGGCCATTGAGACAAGTCAAGGTCAGATAAATGAATTGAAAACTTATAAGCCTTTATCAAGATTTTGTTATTTGATTCCAGTGTTAAAAGGCAGAATGAAGCTGGGCATGGTGGCATACACCTGTAATCCCAGTGCTTGGGGAGGTTGAGGCAGGAGGATTGCAAGTTCAAACTCTTTGTCTCAAAAATAAAAAGGGCTGGGGTTGTGACTCTGATTCAGTGATTAAGTGCCTCAGAATTCAATCCCTCAAAAAAGAAAAGAGAATGATTTTCTTCATATGTTGATAATGACACATCATAATTTAGTAGTAAGAATATAAGCTTTCTAGTCAGTCACCTGAGTTCACATCTTCCCTTACCCTAGGTAAGTTATGAAATATCCTTGGGCATCAGCTTTTTGGTATCTTAGTTGGTGATGCCAATACCTACTTATTTGGATTATTATGAGGATTAAATGAGTTAAATTATAAAGTTCATAGGACAGTGCCTGGCATATAGTAAGTATTCAATATAGAGTAATTATAGCTAGACAAAATGGCATATGCCTGTAATCCCAGCTGCTCAGGAATCTGATGCAGGAGAATAGCAACTTCAAGGCCAGCCAGGGCAATGTAGCAAGACCCTCAAAATAAAGTTCAAAAAAAGGGCTCAGCATGTAACTAAGTGGTAAGGGCGTGTGTTCAATTTCAGTACTGCCAAAAAAAGAGAGTAGTTTTAATATATGCTATTATGTTATTTATGAGTTAATATACCATCTCTACCTTTTAATCAACTAGGGAGGTCAGAAAAAAAATGATGTAGAATGACTAGTTCCTGGGCAAGGAATTTGGTGATGGAGATTGACAGATTATAGTGGGTATAAAAAGTGTTTTAAGAAGCATTAGATTCAATAGTTAAGGTAAATTTCAGGGAGTAAGGAGAGAAAATAAATTTTTCTATAGTCAACAGCATTTACATTTTTACTGCATGTAGAGCACTCTAAGAATTGTGGGAAAAAAACACGCAATAGAAGATATAAGTCCTTATGCAACTAAGGTAAGGAATTTGAGCAAAGAGAAGAATCTGAGAAAAGAGGACTAGTCAAAGTCCTTTCATACCAATTACTTACACTCTGAAAATCTGCTATGAAATTACACAGTAAAAACAAACAAGTTGAATCTTTTAGTTTATACCTTAAACTTTTAGTTTCTGGTTATGTGAATTTAGATATTTGCAGTTAGGCTATATAAATGAAACTGCTTATGTCTGGAATTGCTTCTTTCACCGTTGATCGGTTTGAATGTAGTTTAGGGATTTGGTAGAACCTAGGGATTTGGTAGAACCTTTGAGCTAGAAGGTGATGGAGAGAAGGAAAAGTATTCATTATCAAAATTCAGCTATAGTAAAAAAGGAGTTAAAATTATTATAAGTAGCAAGTTAATGCAAATTCCTTTTGGGAAACTAAACCTGCAGCAACTTCCTTGAGCATAAACACATTTGAATTTAGATTGTATGTAAAAGGAAATGCTTTATTAATTCTTGTTTGTGGAATGCAGTTTAAAAGACCTTCTAGACACATCTAGAACTTGTTTACTTTTAAATATTTATTTTCTAGTTGTAGGTTCACACATAAAAATATTGTGTGTGTACATATATATACATGTATATATATATGTATATATATGTGTACATATATGCATATATATACATGTATATATATAACGCACAATATTTTTATGTGTGAAAGACTTTTTTAATTATATTGTAAATGCAACAGAAGATTCTAAGTAGTCTAATTATGAACCAAAGTCGAAGGTAAAGAGAAAGAAACTTATGGCAGTATACAGAAGAGAATGAAGAGGCTACTAAAGAAGATGTTTATGAAAAAGAAAGACAACAAGAAGAACAAAAAAAAATAGAGTTTTTTTTGGTTTCCCAAAACGGGGAAAAAAAAAAAAGGGAAATAGTAAACAAGCATAAAGCAGTTTCAATAGTGGGATCAAATATACAAAGAAGATAACAAGATTTAGATATGCCTGATATTTTGGAGTATATATTTTTATTCCAGTATTATCACACAGATATAAAAAGTTGAGCAGCAAGTGATTTTCCATCTTGAGTCTAGGCAACTGAGCAAATTCATGGGGATGAAAGCCATAAAGTCGATGTCGTGGTGCTAGGTGCTTTCACTGATATAAGTTAGAAATCAAACAGTAAGATAAGAATTCTGGAGAAGATGGTAAAAGAATCATGAGAAAGAGGAAAAGAGCTGAGTATGACAGTATGTCCTTATAGTTCCAGCTACATAGGGGACTTAGGCAGGAGGATCACTTGAGCCCAGGAGTTCAAAGCTAGCATAGGCAATATAGTGAGAAAAAGAAAAGAGGTAAAGTTTCTTTTCTTATAAAAATAGACATCACTTTTAAAGTTATAATTAATTCTTATTTTTTGCCCCCATAGTGGAAAGCTCATGATGGCATTATTTTAAAAGTTGATTGGAACTCAGTCAATGATCTTATTTTATCTGCTGGTGAAGATTGTAAATATAAGGTATGTAATGTTTAGGCTTGTCATCTGCTTGAGAGAATCAAATTTAGGCAAAAAGTATTTAGCATTTAAGAATATTATTTTATTCTTTTACATTAGATATTACTTGTTTTAAAAAATATTTTGGGGCTGGGATTGTAGCTCAGTGGTAGAGCGCTGGTTTAGCACTTTCGAGGCCCTGGGTTCGATCCTCAGCACCAAATAAAAACAAATAAATAAAATAAAGATGTTGTGTCCAGTTATAATTAAAAATTAAATATTAAAAAAATTAAAAAATATATTTTTTAGTTGTTCATAGACCTTTATTTTATTTGCTTATTTATATTTGGTGCTGAGAATTGAACCCAGTGCCTCACACATGCTACGCAAGCACTCTACCACTGAGCTTCAACTCCAGCCCCATATTAGGTATTACTTTTAACTCTAACAATTTAGCAAATTATTTTCTAATTTTAAAAGGTATTTTAAAGTTCTACTGTAATAACTGTCTCATTGGCCTATAGAATTTGATTTAATAAGTAGCAACATCAATATAACCCCTATTTTTATTTTAGTTTAAATCAGCTCATTTAAATTTTTAGAAACAAACCCTGTTGGTTTACTGAACATTAATCAGTTTCAGAACAAAATTATTTATGGGGAAGAATAAGACTTATTTTCCCCTTAATTGTGGTGCTGAGGATTAAATCCAGGTCAAGGAAGCACTCTACTACTGATGTGTGGCCCCAAAATAAGATTAAAGTAACTTACAGGAACTTTAATTGAAATAAATTCTTTTAGAGAAATTTTATAAACTCAAACAAAATACTAGACATCTCAAAATGTTACTATTAAATTTAAAGAACTTAGAATGTGGAGTTTTTTTTTTTTTAACATATTGAAAACATTTTTTTGTTTTGACATACAGACATGGAGTGGAACTTATTCTAATTAGGATCCCATTCTTGCAGTTGTACATGTTCTGGAGTTTTATTGGTCATGTATTCATATATGAATATAGGATAGGTATGTCTAATTCATTCTACTGTCTTTACTGTTTTTATCCTTCCTCCCTTCCTATCATTCCCTTTTGTGTAATCCAGTGAACTTCTATTCTTCTCTCCCCATCCTTATTATATGTTAGCATCCACATATCAGAGAGAACATTCAGGCTTTGGTTTGTAGGGACTGGCTTATTTCACTTAGCATGATAGTCTCCAGTTCCATCCATTTGCCAGCAAATGCCATTATTTCATTCTTTATGGCTGAATAATATTCCATTGTGTATATATACCACATTTTAAAATCCATTTATTTGTTGAAGGGCACCTTGGTTGGTTCCATAGCTTAACTATTGTGATTTGAGTTACTACAAACATTGATGTGGCTGCATCACTGTAGTATGCTCATTTTAAGTCGTTGGGTATAAACCAAGGAGAGGAATAACTGGGTCAAGTGGTGGTTTCATTGCAAGTTTTCGAAGGAATCTCCATACTGCTTTCCAGAGTAGTTGCACCAGTTTGCAGTCCCACCAGCAGTGTATGACTGTACCTTTCCCACATATCCTTGTGAGCATTTATTGTTGCTTGTATTCTTGATAATTGCCATTCTAAGTGGAGTGAAATGGAATCTCAGTGTATTTGTTTTCTTTTTTTGGTACCGTGTATTGAACTCAGGGGTACTTGACCACTAAGCCACATCCCCAGTCCTATTTTGTATTTTATTTAGAGACAGGGTCTTACTGAGTTGCTTAGCGCCTCGTTTTTGCTGAGGCTGGCTTTGAACTCATGATCCTCCTTCTTAGCCTTCCTAGCCTCTGGGATTATAGGTGTGCACCACCATGCCTGGCTAAGTGTAGTTTTAATTTGTGTTTCTCTAATTGCTAGAGATGGTGAACATTTTTTCATTTTTTTTTTGACCATTTGTATTTCTTCTTCTGTGAAGTGTCTGGGCACTTCTTTAGCCCATCTGTTGATTATTTGTTTTTTTGGTGTTAAGTTTTTGGAGTTCTTTATATATCCTGGAAATTAATGCAAAAATGGTCTCCCATTCTGTAGGTTCTCTCTTTCGTTCTTGATTGTTTCCTTTGCTGTGAAGAAGCTTTTTAGTTTGATACCATCCCATTTATTGATTTTTTAAAAATTTGTTCTAATTAGCTATACATGTCAGTAGAATGCATTTTGACACATCATACATAAATGGAATATAACTTTTCTTTCTTCTAGTTGTACATGATAGGGAATCATACCATTTGTGTAATCATATATGCACTAGGGTAATAATATCTGATTCATTCTACTATCTTTTCTACCCCCGTATCGCCTTCCCTCCCTTCACCCCCCTGTCTAACCCAAAATACTTCTATTCTTCCCTAGCTCCTACTCCCTTATTATGAATTAGCATCTGCCTATCAGAGAAAACATTAGGCCTTTGGTTTTGTGGGATTGGCTTATTTGGCTTAGCATCATATTCTTTAGCTTCATCCATTTACCTGCAAATGCCATAATTTCATTCTTTTTTATGACTAATATTCCATTGTGTATGTATACCACATTTTATTTATCCATTCATCTGTTGAAGGGCATCTTGGTTTGTTCCATAGTTTGGCTATTGTGAATTGAGCTGCCATAAACATTTATGTGGCTGTCACACTGTAGCATGCTGATTTTAAGTTCTTTGGGTATAAACCAAGGAGTGGGGTAACGGTTAAATGTCTGAGGAATCTAAATACTGCTTTCCATCATGATTGCACCAATTTGCAGTCCTAACAGTGTTAATGTACTTTTCCCCTACATCCTCACCAATATTTATTGTTGCTTGTATTCTTGATAATTGCCATTCTGACTGGAGTGAGATGGAATCTCAATGTAGTTTTGATTTTTACATTTCTCTAATTGCTAGAGATGTTAAACATTTTTCCTATATTTGTTGATTGATTGTAATACTTCTTCTGTGAAGTGTCTATTCAGTTCCTTAGCCCATTTATTGATTGTATTATTTTTTTTCTGTGGGTTGTTTCTTGAGTTTTTTATATATCCTGGAGATTAATGCTCTATGTGAGGTGTAGGTGGCAAAGGTGTTCTCCCATCCTGTAGGCTGTCTGCTCACATTATTGTTTCCTTTGTGAAGAAGCTTTCTAGTTGGATTCCATCCCATTTATTGACTCTTGATTTTACTTCTTTTGCTTTAGGAGTCTTATTGAGGAAGTCAGTTTCTAAGCCGACATGATGGAGAGTTGGGCCTGCTTTTTCTTCTAGTAGGCACAGGATCTCTGGTGTAATGCCTAAGTCCTTGAATTGAATTTTATGCAGGGTGAGAGATAGGGGTTCAATTTTATTTTAGTATATATATGGATTAGAATGGGTAGGTTTAATGTTTAATCCAAGGTTTATAAAATCTGAAAATTATAATAATGTTTTAAAATATTTTCAATGTATTTTGGTTTCAAGGAATACAGCTTTTTCCCCTCTCTATTGTATAGTAGTAAAGACATTTAATTACTAATATTGTAAGGTGGTCATTTCTTAAACTTTATGTGCTACCTTATTAGAAGACAAACTTGTTTATAGCAATGTTGTGATTATTATAAGACTTTAAAAATTTTTTGCTTTTATAGGTGTGGGATAGTTATGGCCGCCTCCTATACAGTTCACAACCCCATGAGCATCCTATTACCTCAGTTGCCTGGGCTCCAGATGGAGAATTATTTGCTGTTGGATCATTTCATACTTTACGCTTGTGTGATAAAACTGGGGTAAGTTATAGTTGTGAGGAATTACACATGTGCTGTCATAAATGTGGTCATGCACACACACCTGGTTCTCAGTCCTTAAAAAAGAAACATTTTCAGTGAATGCCCTTTCTTCCTTCCTTCTTTCTGCAGTGCTGGAGATTGAATCCAGACCCTCCCTCACATCAGGCAAACACTCTTTAACATTAATATCCCTTAATGAATGCATTTGGCTGTAAATTTCTGATTTGTCTTAATATACTGATTCAATCAATTCTAGATTTATGAAACCAAACTGTAAGTTTAAAGAATGGATATGATCTCTACACATTGTCTTTCTGGAAATGTTTGTTTTGAGCATGATTGTGAAAGATGGTGAAATATTAAAATTTTTGCCCATTCAATATGGAAAATAGAGTTTTAAATGTTTTTGCTATTGGTATGTTTCATATAAAATGTTAGTCATATTTTTGCATAAAACTAATAGTAAATTTAAAAACTGGTCATTTTGAAACCAAAGGACATATTTCTTTTTGTTAAGAATTTATATTTGAGTCAGGTATAGTGGCACATGCCTGTACTCCCAGTGATTTAGGAGGTCAGCCTAGGCAGTGAGACCCTGTCTCAAAATAAAAAATAAAAAGGACTATGGATATAACTCAATGGTAGAAAGCCCTGGGTTTAATCCCTAATATCTCAAAAAAAAAAAAAGTTCACTTTTGAAAGTGTGGGAGAATTTTTACTCTTGATACTATTCCTTTCTTCTCATTGAAATCTAGACAAACAACTAGGCTTAACAATATTTATCTATTGTTCTTGAAGAATGCCCCCAAACAGTGGCAGTTTGGGGTAAAAATAGTTAAGACTTGTTGATCAACTTTTCATCAGTATAAAAAATACTTGAGATAATCATGAAGAGAAAAGATTTATCTTGGCTTGTAGTTGTGGAGGTTCCAGTCCAGGATTAATTGGCTCCATGTCTAAAAGAGCCTAAGGTATAGCAGCAGGAGTGTGTGGTAGAGTAATCCACTCACCTCATCATCCAAGAAGCAAAAGAGAAAGGACTGACTGGAGTCTGACAGTACCCTGCTGGGGATATGGTCCCAGTGACCAGAAGACCTCCCTAAGGACCTACCACAAGGCTCTACCACAAGGCCCTACCTTCTAAAGGTTCCACTATCTCCCTGTTAAAGGATCTAAGATCCAAATTATAGCAATAGGGCTTTTCCATACTATTTCTAAATATAAGCAAATCATATTGTTCCATGGCTCATTTTCTTCAAATGCAAAACAAGGTAGTTAGAACCTTTAGAGCTTTTTAAATGATGTATCAGTTTTCTGGTTACTTGTTTTTCATCACATAAAATTTTAGCCCTCTGCCTGACTTTGGAAGCTCTCTGAAACCTGGTACCATTAAATCCATTCAGTCTTTTCCTCTCCAACTCTCTAATTTGTATATGTGCTCAAATCAGGTTGAATACTGGCTCATGAATCTTGCCTGCCCCTAACATCCTCACTCTTTTTTTTTTTTTAAAGAAAGAGTGAGAGAGAGAATTTCAATATCTATTTTTCAGTATTCAGCGGACACAACATCTTTCTTTGTATGTGGTGGTGAGGATCGAACCTGGGCCGCACGCATGCCAGGCGAGCACGCTACCGCTTGAGCCACATCCCCAGCCCCCATCCTCACTCTTTTTATGGCATATTCTCTCCTCTGTTTTATACTAAGTGGAATTCTTTCTGTTCTTTAAGACCTATCTCATGTTTGACTTTCTCATGCCTTCTATAGTCAATCTAAAGTTTATTTTCCTAACTTTCTCTCACCTTACGTCTCTTGATTTTTCCCTTAGCTATAATATCCGGATGTTAAATTATCTTATTACTTAAGGATTTTTTTGTTTTGTTTTTGGACTTAAGGACCTGTACCTCAGGTTTTTATTAATGATGCTGTTATAGAATTATGTGGTCTCATTTTCACAATGTATTTTGCACTTACGTTGTCCAGTTTAGTTTTACATATATTATTTTTGACTCCCTAGTTTATAAGATTTTATAGCTTAAAGATTCCTTATTATCTATACAATATAGTCAATATTAAATTATTTGTTAATAAGTGAATTTAAATACGATAATTTTAGTTTGCCTGTTGATTAAAAATATTTTTTATTTTTTTTTAAGTTGCTGATAGACCTTTATTTTATTTATTTATATGTGGGGCTGAGAATCGAACCCAGTGCCTCACACATGCCTGGCAAGTGTGCTACTGCTGAGCCCCATCCCCAGCCCTGATTAAAAATATTTTAAGGTTTTAGAAACTTGAGAGATTAAGTTAATCTGAATAACAATTAAAAATTAACCTCATTAAGCACAATATCTTTTCTTATAATGTTAATAATTCTAGAAAAATAAACTGAATGAACTGTTATAAAAATTTTTAATACTTGAGACTTAACATTTTAAATGTATGTTCTTTTATTCAGTAAGCATTAAATTCATACTATGAATCAGCCAGTGTCCTAGAAAATTGGGTTTAAAATATTAAAAAAATAAAATGTAAAGATTTGTCCTCAAGTTGTTTCTCACCCTGCACAAAAGCCAACCCAGACTGGATTAAAGACCTATGATTTACACTAGAAACTTTGTAACCATTAAAATGTAGGATCAACACTTCACCATATAAGTGCTGATAACAGTTTCCTCAATAGGACTCCTGAACCTCAGGAAACAATACCAAGAATTAGTAAATGAGATGGCATCAAATAAGAAAGCTTCTGCACAGTAACAGAAACAGTTAATAGTATAAAGAGAGAACCTACAGAATGGGAGAAAATCTTTGCTAGTTATTTGTTTTAGTTAGCATTTTCACTGCTATGACAAAAAGACCTGGCAAGAATAATTATAAGAGGAAAAGTTTATTTGGGGACTCACGGTTTCAGAGGTCTCTGTCCATAGATGACTGACTCCATTACACTGGACCCATGGTGAGGCAGAACATTGGGGCAGAAGGATGTGGTCAAGGAAAACAGTTCATTACATGGCACCAGGAAACAGAGAAAGAGAGCTTTTCTCACCAAGAACAAAATATAAACCCCAAAGGCATGCTCATGAGCAATCTCTTCAGTTATACTGTATCTATCTACAGTTAACCACCAAATTAATCCCTATCAGGGGATTAACGTACTGACTCTCATAACCCAGTCATTTCACCTCAGAACTTTCTTGCATTGCCTCACGTATGAGCTTTTAGGGACACCTCATATCTAAACCATAACATTATTCGGACAGAGGATATCCAGAGTATATAAAGAAATCAAAAAACTTAGCACTGAAAAAACAAATAACCCAATTGATAAATGGGCAAATGAAATAAACAGATACTTCACAAGCAAAGAAATACAAATACCTTCTTTTTATTTCAGTAGATAAAAGAGTATAAACAAAAATAAATAAAAGGAACATCATGAATGCTATAAAAATTAAACTGGGAAAGTGAGACAACATAATTTTTAGGTATAATAAAGGATTATAAAAACAACTGTACAAAATAAATATACACTTCTGGGTGGTTAGCATAATAAATTATGGTACAGTGAATTACTTGTAGAATAAAAATTAGAGCCATAGTACCATACTTTTTTCTTAGGTTCTATAATAAATTTTGTTTTTACTTTGATTTTTAAGAAATGCATTATTCAAATATATAAGACACAAATGTTCAAATTAACATAGTTATATATAAGTAAATATCCAGAACATATTAATGAGTTTTAATATGTTAATAGAATTCAAGAGAAAAGATCTGAATATATAATTACCTTTGGTGTCTTCTTAATAAATTGACATTGTTGCTTTTATTTATCAGCAGGTGGTGCTATTGCTTGTATAATGGAAAACTTCTTGATTCTCATTTTCTCTTTGAATATCCATTCATTATAAAAAAAAACTTAACTCTGTTTATTCATTTATTCATTCAATTAAAATAATTGCAATAATTTATCATACAGTAACTGGTCTTACTGCCATATGTAACTTTTCATTATCAAGTAACATAATTTAAGGCACTCTGTAATTTGCTAATTACATATGAGACAGAATATTCTTCTTTTTTTAATATTTATTTTTTAGTTTTCGGTGGACACAACATCTTTATTTTATTTTTATGTGATGCTGAGGATCGAACCCAGCGCCCTGCACATGCCAGGTGAGCGCACTACCGCTTGAGCCACATCCCCAGCCCCCAGAATATTCTTCTTAAAAATCAGTTAGTGGGACTAGGGTTGTGGCTTAGTGGTAGAGCACTTGCCTAGCACATGTGAGGCACTGGGTTTGATCCTTAGTACCACATAAATCTAACTACAGTAAAGTTATTGTGTCTATCTATAACTAAAAATAAAAAATAAAAAAATCAATTAGTATCCCTCAAAGAAAGGCATCTGTTTTCTCTTTGACTTAAACTTAACTTTTGAACATGCAATTTTATGAATTATTGAACTTGGCCAAAGATTGTGCCTTTGAGAATCCTTTCAATGTAAGGAATATAATTACATAGGGTAGTAAAGAGAAGAATGTGGGGCTGGGATGTGGCTCAAGTGGTAGTGCGCTCGCCTGGCATATGTGAGGCACTGGGTTTGATTCTCAGCACCACATAGAAACAAAATAAAGGTATTGTGTTCACCTAAAATAAAAAAAAAAACCTAAAAAATAAAAAAAGAGAGAATAATGTGGTTGACATGGAGGAGTCAGTTATTATGGTCATTGTTTTTAATTTAAATATTTATTTCCCTTCTGGGAAATACTTGCGTGCATAAATAATTTAAGAAAAGACAGAAGAAAAAAAACCTGATCTCTTTCCTTAAAAGGATGTATCATTTGTTGATACTTTATAGAAACTTTATAGAAATCGTCTCAATTTTTGTTCTTTATATTGTGCATATTCAGTTGCTTTTTTATTTTTAAATTAAATTAAATTTTATTATTTTGTTTTAATTTTAATTTTATTTTAATGTAGGAATAACGTTGGCATG